GTTAATGACCTTTGATTACTTTTGAAAAAAGATGATCGATTTCTGACACAAGAATATAAGGTTTTGAAAAGTCATAAACCTAATTATATATATATATATATATATATATATATATATATATATATATATATATATATATATATAAAATATATTATATATATATATATATATATATATATAAAAAATCATTTATATATATATATATATATATATAAAATCATTTATATATATATATATATATATATATATATATATAAATGATTTTATTATCTACTACAAATTTTTTATTGCTATAAACATTATTTGTAGTGAATACAGAATTGAGATGGATATTTCGATCCCGGCCGATTGACACTAAGAATAATGTTCATATTAATAACAATATGAACATTATTCTTAGAGTGTCAATCGTATATATATATATATATATATATATATATATATATATATATATATATATATATATATAAAGCAAGTGTAAATGGATATAAATCCGACAGAATGAAGAAAAAATTTTGAAAAAAACAAACAAAAATCCTTAAATGTTGTTTTAAAATGAATGAAATGTCGTTTTCTGATGTTTCATCTTTATTAAACCTTTTTTTTAATGAATATTCATTAAAATACAATTAAACCGAATATGATGGACATAAAAAACACAAGTTTATCCAATTTATCCATTTATCTGTTTTGTTTTTTTTTCAAAATTTTTTTTCATATATTTGTTTCAATATATATATATATATATATATATATATATATATATATATATATATATATATATATATATATATATCCGCCATTTTCACCTGTTATCTCTCCTGTTGACTATCACTTATTTAAGCATTTTGAGCTTTTCATACGCAATAAAACATTCTCCTAGACGGAAGAGGAAATGCGATGAAGAATTTAAAGGTACGTTGGAGAAGTATCATTCATCAACGTGGTGCCTATTTAAAAAAAAGAAGTGTTTTATTCATTTCCTGTAAAGTGCGTCATTTCTAGATAGATGCCTTCGCTACTTACAAAGCATTCGACATTCGTCTTAGCTAATGTATTTTATGCATAGTGCTCTTTGATTATCCCTTTCTACAAATAGTATGTGGAAAGACATCGATATGATATTTTATGCAGTTCCAAAATAACTGATTCACTCTAAATCCTCCGTTTTTCCAGTGGAAGTACCTCATGTAATCGTGCATGATTTCGTACATGCAGTCGCTGATGTAGTCACACTATATCCTCATTGCTTACCATTTCTATAGGTAGTGTTTTGAATGATGTAAATATGGAATGTATAGATTTCAAATAACTGACTCATCCTGAAGCGTCCGTTCTTCCAGTGGTAGTACCTCATGTAATCGTGCATGATTTCATAGAAGCAGTCATTATTTACAAAGCACTCGAAACTCGTCTTAGCTAATCTCTTTTAGTCTTAATGATCATTTTACTATAGCGACTTTGCCTATACATTTCTATCGATATCGAATTGAAGGTTGTAGATATGAAATGTTGAACAGATTCGAAATAAATGACTCAACCTGAAGCGTCCGTTCTTCCAGTGGTAGTACCTCATGTAATCATCCATTATCTCATAGAAGCAGTCATTATTTACAAAACACTCGCCACTCCTCTTAGCTAATGTCTTTTAGTCTTAATAATTATTTTATTATAGGCTCTTTGCTTATCCATTTCTATAGATAGTGTAATGAAAGATGTCGATCTGAAATGTTGAACAGATTCGAAATAACTGACTCACCCTAAAGAGTCCATTCTTCCAGTTGAAGTACCTCATGTAATCGTGCATGATTTCATAGAAGCAGTCATTTTTTACAAAGCACTTGACATTCGTCTTAGCTAATGTCTTTTAGTCTTAATAATCATTTTATTATAGTCTCTTTGCTTATCCATTTCTATAGATAGTCTGTTGAAAGATGCAGATATGAAATGTTGAGTAGATTCGAAATAACTGACTCACCCTGAAGCGTCCGTTCTTCCAGTGGTAATACCTCATGTAATCATGCATGATTTCATAGAAGCAGTCAGCGATGTAATCACACCTCATCATGTCCATATTGTTCTTACCGTAGAAACCTGTAGAGGAAGAAAATTAAAAAAAGATTGTTAAAATCCCGTATTTGTATATTCCAATTCTAATATTTGAAACTTGCGAAAGACAGGAGGTGTCGGTATATATTCTACACGAAATAATGGATGAAGAATTTCATCAGAAAAATATATTTGTTCAAAATAAAAATGCAAGGTGACAACCAGTAAAATTGATTCAAAAACTTGTGTCGCGATATTAGAAGGCTCAACGTTAATATCCTTGTTCCCGCCTGAGTTATCACGGCTCTCCTCGTCTTCCTGATTTTTGATGCCTTGATTAATTTTTGACATTTTGCTCTATTTCCTTGACCGGCCAGAAATTAAACTTATTAAATTTATGTTTTTTTGCATTCTACCTCTCTCTATATATCTTTCTCACTCTCTCTTTCTCTCTTTCTTTCTCTCTCTCTCTCACCCCACATATATATATATATATATATATATATATATATATATATATATATGTATGTATGTGTGTGTGTGTGTGTATGCAGATATATAGAAAAAACCTCTATACTTACCAAATTCGCGCGCCAAATATCTGGCAATGGCCATAGTTTCCGGCATCTTATTACCACCGTCCATCTCCAAGACAGGGACACACATGCTGGGCATATCTGAAAAAAGTATTAAAAGAGACAGTAGTTTAAATTTTGAGAATTGTGAAAGTGTCGTTCTCTAGAAATATTTCAAGTAAATAAAATGGCGCTATTTAGAAAAAAATAAAATGGCGCTATTTAGAAAAAAATAAAATGGTGCTATTTAGAAAAAGTAAAATTCCATCATATTCAACCGATAATTACCCCTTGAAAAGGTTGACTAGATATCTCGCGAAAATTTTACTTCACCAGGAGCAGCTGGCAAGATATGTTTGGGAAATTTTCATTGTTATCTTAGAGGATATCTCGCGTGAAAATTATTTCTGAGAGGCTAACGAGATATCCCGCGAGAATGTTAATTACTGACGAGATATTTTTTAGAAATTTTGTCAGGCTTGAGCTTAGTGCATATCACGCTAGAAAATTGTTTCTGTGCACCTATATATCTCGCATGAAGTGGCTTACAGGATAAAACTCGAGAGATTCTATTGAACAGGTGACGAGATATTACGGTAGAAATTCCATTTTCAGAGAAAGGCTTGTGGGATATCTCCAACAACATTTTTTTTATATAGTAGCTTAAAGGAAAATTGTTTTTTGGTTAAGCCATCGAGATCTGCCGCAAAAATGTACATACTCCTAGAGTAGACGCTTAAATGCAGTCAGATATATGTACACCCTTTTACTGCTTTAGTTTTCTTTCTTTCACTATACGGTCAGGGAGTGACAGGGTGTAATCGATTTGTATTTTTTCCTCATATTACTTTATTTGCAGTGGTGTGCACTAATATGAATCGCTTTTCGGTGTGTATGATGGAATTTGTTTTGCTTTGAAAAATATTGCGTCATCCGTGATGGCATCAGATTTTTATAACGGTCAGATGCTATTGTCTCGACTGTCGATTAGTTGTCTTAGAGACTTTACTCCAAGGAAGCGTACAAAAATTGTAACGCAGCACGAACACACTGGCAAGCCTTACCAGCGATCAAATCAAAGTATTATAGACAGGCCTGGAAACTCTCCTGATTTAAATCCAATCGAGAATATGTAGTCAATCTGCAAGGAACGATTTCTTGGTATGGACATACGAAGTACTAATATGTGCACTGGGTCATGTTTCATTGGGAAAATACGAAAAATTTAAATAATAAAGGAATTATTTGTTTTTTTTTCAATTAATCTCGAAAATGGTGCATTTTTCAAGAAGTGGCTTACAGCCTATCATGCGATAAATTTGTTTTGGGGTAAGGGAATTATTTTCAGATTATTATAAGTTGTTAATGCGTTACTAAAATGAGTATTTGCATTTATCTTGTGAAATGAAATCGTAATAAAGTTAATAATACAGAATAAAAATGCATGACAAAATTTTTAAACATGAAGGACTGACTTCACAAAAACGTATTTGTATTAGAACATTGTCAATGTCATAATGGACTGATTGCTTTCTTAGGGGCCACGAATGACACACAGGCGGCCGTGCCTTTTTTCAGTGTACTGTTTAATTTCTACGGTAGACTAGTTACCAAACAAGTTTATCTAAACGGCGCAGCCACTCGTATCCGGGGATTCGCGCATACTAGCGCGGTAGCCAATCCACGTTGCAGACGCCCACTCAGGCACATTTGTGTTTGTTCGATACCCACAGAGCCCACCTGTGGTGTATATTGCAACTATGCTTCTTGGAGGGAGCGTGATCAACAACACAAAGCCAGCACGTTTAAAACCTCGGCCACGATGACTTGTGACAGCCATAAACATCTCCCAAGGGTTTCGTCTACATAATATCACTACCAAGGCTTGAGTCAATCCATGGCATTGTTTTCCAGCAATTTGAAAAGGTGCCGCATGCTGGAATCGATGCCATCAAATCGACCATGGTGAGATTCGAACCCGGGTCTCATGGTCAGAAACCGAACGTTCTAAACACTCGGTCACAGTTTATCCTGAAAGCTGAGGGTGGGAAAAGAAGAGTTGAATTTATACCTTTCGCAGGTAAATATAACAAACTCGACTGGCATTCGAACTCGTCTCTCCTATTTCTCATTCGAAACTGACCATGCTCAACGTTGCTTAACTTATCGATTCATGGTTTAATTTCTGCAGAGTCGTTACCAAACAAAGAAATAAGACCAAGTTTATTCTGCTATTTGAGAAGATAAGGATTCATGCCTTTCCCAGGAGATATGTGCGTAAGTAAATGCAAGGAACTCAACTGGAATTCGAACTCGGCTCTCCGATTAACGATTCTTAGCCGTTATCCATCATACCTCCCGAACATGCAAGCTTAAAGCACCTGGTATTCCCGAGCTGTCAACCGTCCAGGAACGAACTAGGCTCAACATTGCTTAACTACGGTGATCGTATGTGAACCGGTGTTTCAACGTGATATGGCTGTA